GCCTTCCCCTCGGCGGAAGCGCTCGGGGCGGACGCGGTTCCTTCCGCTCCGCCGCGGAGGAAGATCCAGGTCAAGGCGGGAGGGCCGGCCCTCCCCTCAGCCAGCCCGCCTTTTACGAAAAGGCTGTAGCCGCGTCCCGCTGCCTCCCGTCCTCTTCGCCCTCCGTGGCGGGCGCCTTTTCCCCGCTCTGCGTCGGCGGAGGGGCAGCCCCCGCAGCAGTCAGGGTGCTGAGGTGGACGGAGGAGCTGCCCGGGCGAACCTGCGTGTGTGTGCGTGCGCGTGTCCCGAGCGCAGCGCGCCGTTCTGGGGGCCCTGTCTGGCCTGAGGTGATTTTCCCGTCCCCACCGTGGAGGCCCGCGGAGCGGGGGGTGGGGGAGGGAAGGAGCGGGCCGCCCCGTCGCGCCGTGTCCCGTGGGTGCCGTCGCTGTCTCCCGGGGGAGCGGGAAGGGGGGACACGGCGTTTCCCGTTGTGCCGTTGGCGTGTAACGGTCGCTGGGAGCTGCTTCTCCTCAGGATCGCTTTTCCCCCCTGCTTAGGAACGAGAGAGGATGGACGAAGCCGCTGGGGATTTGAAGCAAGCGCTCCCCAACGTGTGCGACAGCGTCCAAGTACACGTGGAAGTTCACCAGAAACCAAGCAGGTCTCTCCGATCCGAACATTACTCGCGGCGGCTTGTGTCTTGCTGCCGTGGGTCCTCGTGCCCTGCGCCTACAAGGGGGCACAGCGCTCTGCTCTGCCTTCACTGTGCTCTCCCATGAGTTCCCACGCAGGTGTCTCTTCCTAAGCTTGAACAAGCCCGTTCCTCTCAGCTTCTCCTTGTGCTCCTTCTCCATTATGTGATCCGCTCTCGTAATCAAGCTAGTGGCCGTATTCTGGACTTGCCCCAGTGTATCATTGTCTCTTCTACAGCAGACCCCAAAACTGCACGCAGTACTCCAGATGAGGTCTCGCAAACAGCCAGTAGATGGAAAGAACCGCTTTCCCTAACGTTTACGCTCTTGCTAGCACAGCCTACAATAAGGTTGGCCTTATTCGTAGCAGCGGCATGCTGCTGACTCGTTGCCAACTTGTATCCCCGGGTCCTTTTCTGCAAAGCTGCTTTTCATCCAGTTGGCCTCTGGTCTGCACTGTTGTCCGGGCAGTAGATGGAGAGAGGATTTCACATTTACTTTTGTTGACCTTTGAGAGGTTCCTGTCAAACCATATCTCCAACCTGTGGAGGTCCCTGAGTGGCAGCCCTGCTCTCTAGTATACTGGCAGCTCTCCCTGCTTTGGTGTTATCCACAAACTTGCTGCAGTTGCTCTCCATCCCGTAGTCCGGGGTGTAGATGCAGATGTAAAAACAGTGTTGGTCCCAATATTGATAGCACCACCCCGCCTTTCCCTGCCCAACATACTGGCAGCTCTGCTTACTCTTTGTACTGCTAATCACAACCCTTTGAGCTGGACAGTCTAGCCACTTCATTGTCTATTTATCCAGTCCTTAGCTTACCAATATGACTATCTGGATACTATGGGAGAGTGTGTCCAAGGTGTTGTTAAAATCAAGGTGTAAAATATCCACTGCTCTCTTTTTGTCAGGAACTGGGAATGCATCACTGAAATTGCAAAATTACGTTAAAGCCTTTCTGAAATCTTAAAATGGTATTCCTTTTCCTGTAGTTTTTGTCTCTTCTACTGGAATTCTCCTTATAGCATGTCCCCGTCCTGAGGTATCAGCTGTCCTCAGACACAAAAGCATAACAGAGCTTCCAAGCTAAGTGTGCCAAATTCAATCTAGTAGCTTGACTATGAGTTTTTCTGGTTTTCCTAGTGAAACGCAGTCAGATAACATAACTGATTTCCATTCTTGAAATCTTCTAGTTGTGTCATTCCGTGTCCCCTGATATGACTGCGAACAGAGCAAATAGTATTCTTTGGCTTGTGTCTTTTAAAGCACAAATTAAAAACAAGTATCAAACTTGTTGCTTTTGCAAGCAAACTGAATTTGATAGGGTTTTTTTTCTGCAGAATGTTACGGGGGAGGGTTGAGTGGCATTTGGGGTTTTTTTGTGTGGGTTGTTTATTTGGAGGTGGTTTGTTTTGGGGATTCTGGGGGTTTTTCTTGGGGTTTTTTTTTGAGTTCTTTATTTTTGTGCGATGGAAGCTGTTTTCCATGTAGGCTTAGTGTATGAAATAAAACACTCAGATATTAGTTCATACTTCCTTATAAATGTCAATGCCATAAATAATGCTGTTTCTTTCTTGTTAGTGTGGCCAGGAAAGAAGATATCAGGATGAGTGTCTTAAAGCTGTTGAACAGACATAACATCGTGTTTGGTGATTACAAGTGGACAGAGTTTGATGATGGTTTCCTTAACAGCAACGTGCAGTCTGTGTCGATTGTGGATACGGAGCTGAAACTGAAAGACAGACAGGTATTCACAGTCAAGAATTTGCAGCTCTGTTCATATGCCAGTGAACTAGTTGAAGGTAAACGAGTGATAGCCTAAGGACATAAGCAAGGCAAGGTCTGTAGGACGATGTAGTATCTTTTATTAGGCTGACTGGTATAACCAGGAAAAGGTGGCTAAGTTTTTGGGCCTACACCCCTTGGTAAGGTCTGAAACAGAAGTAGTAGGCTTTGAAGCTGAATGCCAGCTGAGGACTGTAACTTTCGTGTGTTATAATTAGCTTTGAATGAGAAATACGATGCATTAAAAGTCTTTTTATGTCCATTCTAGCCTATTGACTTGAGCAAAAGCAGTCTTTCTCTTCATATTTTTCATCTGAATGAAGAAGGACCAAGCTCTGAAAACCTGGAGCAAGAGAATGAGGATATCATTGCAGCTAACCACTGGGTGCTACCAGCAGGTACCCGTGTGATATTTCTGGAAGGTCTAGAGCAATTACAATGAAAGAAAATCTTGGAAAGGCTAAAAGTTTTTATAGGGTTACTTTTTAAAGGTATTGTTTGTATATATTGTTTAACTTTGTCCTGTGTCAATGGAACCAATGTATCTGGACTTTCTTCTTTATAGTTTTGACTGAACTACTACAGGTGATTCCTGTTTCGTTGCTGAAAGCTAGAAACTAACTGCTAGGAAATCACAACTTTATTTTTTTGTGCATTATTCAGCTACATGCTTTTTATTGTCCTCTACATGTTGATGTTAAAAAAAAAAAAAGCTGAATGATAAAATTGGGCTTAGAACCCTCCTCCCACTCCAACTTTTCATAGCTCTCTATCTTGAGGAAATGTAGGTCCATCCTCTATTGAGGGTGGAAAGAATGATATTTTTCCTTTCATGTTAAGAAATTAGGAAGATTAATTTCTCCTCAGAATTATTTGAGGAAACAGAAGTTGTGAAACTGCTGAATTTGTCTGTTAGAAAGTAGTGTTTGCATTTTGAGAAAATTAATGCATAATTTTTTTCCATATATTTTAATTGCTCTCGTATATCTGTTCTTAATCTTTAATTTTAGTTGAGAATAATTTGAAAACTGCTTTGTGCTATAGTGGTAGATTACAAGTTCCCAGACTGATTTTTCCTAAACAGGTATATAATATGTTGCTTTTACAGCTGAATTCCATGGCCTTTGGGAAAGTCTTATATATGACACTGAAGTAAAATCACACGTAAGTTGAAAATGAATAACAATTGAAATTGCTCGAGGAGAAGTAAGAGTTGAAATGTAGCCTGTTTGATGTTTGCTGCATCCCATGGATAAGTTATTTGGAAATCACCAGCTCAAAAAACCTCTAGATAATTTTTGATAGTTACATACTTCTCTGATGTACACTTCACAAAAGAAGGCAGAACTGACATTTGAGATTAAAATCATATCTCAGATGTATATCAATATGTACTACTGTGAAGTCAGCTTTGCAAAATATCTCAGTTTCCCTGTGAAACTGGATTCGGTGATGCTTATGCCACAAATTATAAAGAATTTCTTCATATGCATTGGCTTATTTTACAGAAATTAGAAGTTTAACAGCTGGAGGTGTTTTGGTAGCAACTTAAAACTTCTCAGAAGATATTCACTGTTGCTTTAGACATAGTCATCAGCCTGCGTGAAGAAAACAATGGGTGTTCTGTAGAACAGGGTACAAATTCACTTTATTAAAATACTTTATTAAAATTTAAGGCTCATTAGTTGCTTGTTTTTCTAGAAGGGAAGAAGAAAATTGGTGGAAAAAAATAACTTCAGAGACGCATGTTGCTCTCAGCTGTAGTTGCAGTGCTTCCCTTCTACTGGCACTCTTGTTAACCTTGCAGTAAACTAACTGAGGAAACTAAGTTAATGGAAGTGTTCAACTTATTGTGTGATAGGCTAATTTCCACCTCGTCTTGTGCCATTAATTGGTCCACTGTGACCATAGCTAATGGTCATGTAACAGAAGTGGTGGGTGGAGGCTAGGTGGAAGGGAATGGGAGTTTAACTGTGTGTTTCAGGCAGCAGCTAGACAACTCATTGGTTTAGCAGTACCGTCAGCCAGCACTGTTACTGTTCATACAAGTGCACATTGAATGGTTTGACTAGAGTGAGTGTGCTCCCACTTGGAAGCTGGTTAGACATTTGGAAGACACAAAACAGTTCCATGGGGTCATTTTCTATGCAGATTCTGTGCGTTCATCAAAGGTTGCGATGATAACTGCCAGAGCTTGTAGAACTGTAATACTGTAATCTGAGATTTAGTAATTGTGATGTGAGTAAAAACCACAAGTGATTCAATTCAGTTGCTCTTATGACAGCACTCATCAAGATGTTTATCATGCTTGTTAAAAAAAAAAATGCTTCTACCTGAAGTTTTTGGACACAAATAACTAATTCATTAGTTTGTTTATAATACCATAGATAGAGTATTCTCACTTAAGTCTTTATAACCATCTATAGTAAAGCAAAACATTCCAGTGATTGTACTTCTTCATTTATAAGGTAAATATCAATTAACACATGAACATTTTTCTAAGTTATGGAACCACTTTCCAAATCATCTGTGAAATGACAAGACTATTTAATTATACTTACTGATGTACTAAATAACAGCAAGTTGATCACTGTTGACTGTAAGTGTGTGTTGGTAGAAAGAAGTGGTGGCTTTTAATGACTAAAACTAGAACTACTTCTGTAAAAGTAACTGTGATGAATGTTCATTCTTTAAACCATGGAACTAGCTGGGTACGGTTGAGTTCTACAGACTCTGAATTGGCTGCTGTGGATTTTCAAAATAATACAGACAGTGTCAATATAATATTGAAAGACATGCTGGACGAAGTTCAGGTGTTTTGCTGTTGTGTAATTGCTCCATCTTGGGCGTGAGATATTGCAGGAATACTATTGTATTGTCCTATTAACACATGGATCAAAAGCACATTACAGGTAACAGCAACAGAAAGTAATATGGTATCAGGTGTTATTATAGGTAAAAATCAGTATTGATTCACACCTGAGGTTCATATTAATTTTGTTGAAAGCGTTATCTACTTCCTAATTCTAGATAATTCTAAAATGAAGCATTATTTTTAGAAGCAAGCATTCAGGGGAGTACGTGCAATTTCCCTTATTTGGAAGGATAGCCAATCTACAAATTCCTTAGAGTAGCTGATACAAATGCTTCAGTAGGAAAGGAGGTAAAATGTGACAGAAAATACTTTGTTTAGTGGGTTGATTACAACAAACTGGACAAATGTATAGTTGTACGACATCTAAACAGGACCTGGAGTTTGAGTCTTTGACTCTCTGTGCTTGGTCAGCTTGTGTTTTAAAGACACACTGTAAGTGGGATGATGGAAAATGAATATAATTTCACTTCCTTAAAGCATTTCATTTATTCATGTAAAGTTCTGGAGCTGCATTTGTTCCCAGTACATGCTGTTCTTTTTCCTGAGGGCAGGAAGGAAGTGAATTTCCAACATTTGCAGAAAGAAAATTTGCCTATGACTAAAAGACGAGCCCATTTTTTTTATTTTGTTAAGAGTACATAATAGACATAATTAGGAGATTGCTTCTGTTTGTATTTGCTAATATGTCTCTAATTTTTGTGTCTTTTTCTCTTCTTCAATTAGTTACTTGATTATGTGACGACAACATTACTATTTTCTGACAAAAATGTTGACAGCAACCTGATATCGTGGAACCGAGTTGTTTTGCTGCATGGTAAAAATTATCTGTCTTAAATCAAGTAGATTCTTTGGCCATCTGTTTATACTTTCCTTCTGGAAAAACTTGTATTGCACTTCTGTGTAGTGAAATTAGATGATCCAAAAGCAGCAAGGAAGTATTCTCTCTATAATACAAATTTAGATGAAATGTAACGTCAGAATCAAATCAATGTTCACATGTACTATGTTTTGCAGGAATTTAAATTCTAAAATTTATAATGCAGTGACAGTAGTTGTTTTTTAAATTTTCATTTTAAAGTGATATTATTGCTTTTTTGTATAAAGTGCAAAAATAATGCAGATGGTGAGAACTTTAGGAGCCATATACTAGTCACAGTTCTATTGCAGTATTAAAAAATTTGTTAGTTACGGCTTTATAAAAACTTTTGAGGAAACTGGGAAATCAATGTGTGTTGTGTTACTGTGTGTTCTATTGCCGAGTATGAAGGCAGTACTCTCGCTAATTCAGTTATTACTATTTCAGTGAAGCTGTAATCTTCAGTCAGTCCTAGTTTACTGTGGAGGTTATACCATAAACGAGATTAACATCAGCTGAATCCATTTTCTTGCAAAATGCAGCTTGCTGTTGATTAATTACAATTTTGTCATCAAGACTGGTATTAAAAAATAAAAGATCATAGTGGAAATGTTTGTTGTGAGTGTTGACTATACATAAGTTATAGCTATCAGTTTAGAAGCTGCAGAATGTTTTTGTTTGGAAAACTTTATTTCAGACTGTTAATAAATTTATGATAGATATATTTAATTTTAGTAGTGAGCTCATGATTGTGATCACAAAGAAGTTTATACTGGGAAATCTACAACTGTTGTAGTGCAAAATACATTTATGCTATAATGGCAGTAATGGCTTTGAGTGAAAGTGCTGTCATCTGGTTGACGTTACCAGTTTGTTTAGCACCCACACATCATCTCCCATACATTTGTACTCTGTTTTACTATACTTGTACTTGTCTGTTTGGAGAAAGTATGTGTGGCTCTTCCATAGGGTGTCAAAGCCAGATCCAAAAGGTTTGTCCCACAGCATATTTCCTAAGATGCTCTGGGTTGCTCCAAGGTAGAGATTTCTGGGAAAGCAGACAGCTGATCAAACTAGGCATGATGTGTTTCTGTTTTGCATGTTAGAAGAGTATGTTTCAGAAAGATACAAGTTTAAGCATAGCACTGACTTTTGAGAATGCTGGTAAGCATAAGCCCTGCTAGGGTGATAGACTTTGCTTCTGTGGCCATTGAGTATTTTAACTTTATGGTGTCTGCATACAAACTATTACACTAACTAATTGAAAATTATATAAATAATTGAATTTTATATAATTGAAAATTATATAAATTCAAAGCGCAGCTCTAGGACTGTAGCAGAGTAAGCAATCTTCTGAAAATACCCCAGTGTTCACAATCATTGTCTGCTGTGTTTTCATTCTACAATTAATGCTGTAATGAAATGTAGTTAAAGAGATATTGCATGTCATTAACAGTCTGATGCAGATTCTGTGTAATGTATGGATTTGATTTCAAACCAGGCCCTCCTGGAACTGGGAAGACTTCTCTGTGTAAAGCATTGGCTCAGAAACTGACAATTCGACTGTCATACAGGTGATTGTTTTTGGAAGTGTTTCACTTACATTTACTATTGTTAATTGTTCTTTTTCAGTAGTGCAAAGTTATTTAGTATTTGATTTCAAGTAACTGGTGCCAAGTGCTAATGTTCATAGCTCTTTTGTAGTGTGCCTGCCTAGCAACAAAACTGATCTGATAGAGAGACTGGTTAGGATATTTTAATGCCTTTTAAATTGTGTCATTATTTGTGCCCAGGTATGTAAAACAAATTCCAGTGGCAATATAGTCATTTGTTTGTGCTTATGCTGCACATCAATGAATATTAAAGGACAACAGATCACAGACTGTTGAGCCTGCTATTTATATTTTCATGCTCACAAAAGCCTGTTTTTAATAGGTAGTGATTTTGTAACCAATTTGTTTTGTACTTGGATTGTCTGAATGCCACTGTCTGCAGAGGTCAGTCTGTATATCAGATAAGTAATAAGAGTTAGTCTTAAACTTCACAGCAACTTAACAAATGTATATAAAAAAATAGTTGTTATATAAAATATTAGGTGTAACATAAATAATGTGTAAACATTGGAGTGATCTGTCTCTAGCCCAAGCTGAATTTATGATAAACATGGGCTATATAATGTGTGGTTGAGGTACTTTGTCCTAAGGATATCCATGCAGAGCTTAGTAAATAAACTTCATGCTCTTGTATGTGTTCTTGCTATACTGAACAAAATCTTACGGGAACAGAAGAATGAGGCCATTAGCATGGTGACTGTTACTTAAACTATATGTAAATAGCACCTGTTCTAATGAAGAAATTCTGACAGCAATTTAATATAAGGAATTCTAGTGAGACATGTTTCTGAAAATGACAAACTCAAAACAGGTGTTATATTTTGAAAAGTAAGTAATTTAAAGTGCTAATTCACAGAATTCCAGGGTTGAAATGGAGGGAATGAGACTTAGGGAAATCAATGATATACCTGACTTTTATTTACAATAGAGTTGATACTTCTTTTTCCCTTCTTACTTTAGGTATAGGTATGGACAGTTAATTGAGATAAACAGCCATAGCCTTTTCTCTAAATGGTTTTCTGAGGTATGTATTGATGTAGCTAATTAAGTAGACTTTGTGTTTTAGAAATTAGACTTTCTGTTGAGCTTGTTTCATAAAATAAGTGTGTGCACCTAAGATTACTCAGAATAATTGATGTGTTTGAGAACGCTTAAATAGAAGCTATATTAGCAAGTTACCTTAAAGAAACAGGTATTTCCATTTTCAAATATGGTAAGGCTTGGAAAGTTGTGTAATAAGGAAATAGTTAAACAGATGCATATGGTGTCTTTCTAGAGTGGCAAGCTTGTAACCAAGATGTTCCAGAAGATTCAAGAGTTAATTGATGACAAAGATGCTCTTGTATTTGTACTGATTGATGAGGTATGATTCTAATAGCATCGATGTACATAAAATTTAACAGAAAGTAAATTGATGGGAGGGAACTGTGATAATGCTCATTTGTAAAGAACAATAAAAGCGTATTTATGCTTTTTTGTAAGTTACATAACTTGGTGCAGAAGAGTGAATTTTAATCTTGACTGCTGCAGATTTGAGAGATTTGGGAGGAGCACAGTATGATTTAGCAGGCAAATTCCAGCTGAAAATGAAGCGAAAGCTTTCTTGGTGAACTTGCCTTGCTGCTGTGTGTTTACAAATGGAGTATTGTTTTAAACTTCAGAGTAGCCTAGATTTGTATTAATTGTGCTCTTATGTATGTTGTAAAGCTCTAAAAAGCATTATTATGGTTCAGTTCATTGTCAAGATTCTCTTCAGACTTGCATACCTAAGCAACTTAGTAAGCATGTACCTTATTAGCTTTGTTATGTTGGAATTCCTATGGGGAAGTTCATTCTAAATTCAGTGTATTCATTCTTCTGTTGTGTGTATCCCCATACCTACCCCCAGGCCCTGAAATTTGTTAAAATGAAAAACAGCCTCCATTCTGCTGTCTAAACAGGAATTTCGCACACTACAATTTGCTTCCTTGACATTCCTTTCCCTTTCCCTGTAAATTCCTACTTAACAAAAGATTTTGAAGATGAAGCTTTAGATACCAGACACAAGGATCTGAAGGTGTATTGTCTGGGTTATTTGCTTGCTGCCAGAGCTCCAAATGTGCAATCTTTTATGGGGTTTTGGTGATTTTTTTGTTGTTGTTGGTTTTTTGTTTGTTTGTTTCATTTGATTTTTTGTAGGTGGAAAGCCTCACAGCAGCCCGCAGTGCCTTCAAGGCAGGCACAGAGCCTTCAGATGCTATTCGTGTGGTGAATGCTGTACTGACACAAATAGATCAGATTAAAAGGTAAACTCATGTTATTGCAACAGCAAAAGGTAATTGACAATTTCAGGATTCCTGCTAAATCTTAATTCATACTTGGAATACTAAACCAAATTGGTTAGTGAATTATTCTTTGTTAAAGGTGCTAATTGTGAAAAGAAGTAGGAGTAATCCAACAGAATATTTTGCATGTAACTAAGTGAACAATCAAACCTACTGATGGTATACTTCCTTTAAAGCTAAGGAGAGATACAGGATAGATGGTCATGATATCTGCTTAGAGAGACAAGAATAAGATCAATGAAGAATTCATTCATTATTTACAGCTTCTGGATGTCAATTGAAAGCAGACTTGCACAACACATGGTTTAGAAGCAATCATTAATGATGCTTGGTCCGCTTTGTGTGCTGGAGTTAGTGCAGCATACTATCTTTTGTTTTATTCCTGCCACTTGCCTCCCCTTTTGGCTCATACTTGGCTCTGTTCACAGCAAGAAAGGTGCTCTAGTATTTGGCCCTGTCTTTAAAAGGTAAGTGGCTTATTCATACATAAAAGTGCACAGGCTTCATCTAAAAATAGCTATGGTTAAGAATGTTCTTTCAGTATTTCTTAGAGCAAGGAGATGTTACTTCTCTTTTAAGCTCACTCTAATGTCATCTGCGGTTAGAATGTGTCACATTGCCAGTGAAACTATATACTTTCTACTGAATTGAATTGGAAAAATGTGTAAACTAAATGTTTAAATTTACAAGTTGTCTTTTTTTTTTTTTTTTTTTGTGGCAGAAATTATGCCAGTAGGCTCTTGATAGTTAATGTATATCACTTCTAAAATAGGGGTGGAGAAACTATGGACACTTGACAGACAGCTGAAAGAAAGAGACTATGCATTGAACTAGATTGGTGATAACTGGTCAGGAGCTTCAGATTATTTAATGTAATTGCTGACAAGAGTGATGCGATTGCTTATTGCATGAAATCGTTTGAGTCATAAGAAGGAAGGTGTCAATTTGCCAGTCACAAAAGGAGATAATTCTTGTACATATGACCTAAAAATCTGATTTTATCTTGAAGGTATCCCAATGTAGTTATCCTGACTACTTCAAATATTACGGAGAAAATTGACATGGCCTTTGTAGACAGGGCTGACATAAAGCAATACATTGGACCTCCATCCACTGCAGCAATATTTAGAATATATCTTTCTTGCTTGGAAGAACTGATGAAGGTAATATTTTGAAAGCAAGACTAAAATGTCGTATTTTAATAAATCTGACATCTTAATCATACTTCCTAAATAACAAAAATACACAAATTTCATTCCTTCTGTGTATTTCCACTTTTACTGTAGAATTTAATTTTGAATGTATTAAAGTTTTTCATACAACAGTGTATAACTCTTCTTTCTAGTGTCAAATAATATATCCTCGACAGCAGCTCCTGACACTCAGAGAGCTAGAGATGATAGGCTTTGTAGAAAATAACGTGTCAAGATTAAGCCTTGTACTAAAAGAAATCTCAAGGTAAGATTCTGAAATTCTGCATATAGATATATGTATATAATGAGTTGTGGAATGATGTATAAAAGTAATTGAATTTTATAATGGCTAGAGTTCTGAAACATCTCAATTTTTTTCTGTTAGGGTTAGTGCAAAACCTTTCAGGAGACAAAAAGTGGAAGCGATCAGGTTTTGCCAACATTTCTTAGTCTCCCATCTGGCTTGGATTAGTACTGGTTCTGGTCTCCTCTGCCCTTTGAAGTCCTCTTGACAAATTGCCAGCTAGATTAGTGAGATGCCTGAGGTTTCAGTGGACATTGTGAATTGTAATGCAGTTTAGTGGAAATATCATTGGCCTTAGTTCCCACTAAGAAAGCATCTTGGAACGCCTTGCAATCTACTAAGTTAGTTTTTAGCATCGAGATCTAACTGGACAAAAGCAAAGGGGAAAGGAGTGAAGTGTAAATGCAGAGTGTTATGATTTGCTGAGTATGCTAGTAGAGCAAATAGTCTTTCACTGCAGCATAACAATTCTTGAAACAATAAAAATTATATTCACAATATTAAGCAATATTTTTTTCCAAAGTGCTGGGCCCTGTGGAACAAAATAAAATAATGTTCATAAAGTCAGAGAAGTGTGTTTTCCTTCTGTTCCTGAAGTATACAATCTTAACCAGTGAGGAGTGGAGTAAAAGCAAGAAAGCAAGTAAATTTTTCCAGGTGTAGAGGTTTGGGTTCTACATACACAGAGTGGTGCTTGGAGGAGACAGAAACATGTATCAAGTAGGTGAGGTAAAGGAAGCTGTGTGTAAATGGTGGGAAGGTGGAGATAAGCAGTAGCCGTGAGGTCCAGCCTTGAAAACAAATTTTTCAAGTCCTTCCAAGAGTGTATGGAAGGTTATGTCTGTACCATACCCTTCCAGTGTAGACATTCCCACCATATTCATGAGATATGACACAGTGATGTGAAGGGCGTGATGTAAGCGTTGGCAGGCAAATGTGACTGCTATTTCTGTACCCTTGCTTCAGCCTCCCATAGGCTGAAGTTGTCTGTTCACTTGCTGCTTCTGCTAAAAATGCTGCAAGTGACCTGCTGAATTGTGATTTGAGGTTTTCTTAGAGCAACTTATGAGAGAAACTCAGAAAAAGGAAACGTGGTCTTTTAAGAGTGGATATTTAGCATTTAAGCAGCACTATTCTCTGTTTTACTGTAGAAAAAGTGAAGGTCTTAGTGGCCGGGCCCTGAGAAAACTTCCTTTCCTAGCACATGCACTTTATATTCAAGTAAGTTTATTCTATTAATTATGTTCTGGTTTGGTTTTAAGACAGGTGGGAAGACATTTGGACACTTCCCAAAGTAAAAGATTGGGCCTAAATCCCCCTTTTAATCTAAATTGCACTGTTTCTGCAGCTTTGTAGACTGAAACAATTTTGTGCTGCCTGTAATTTAAAATGTGATTGAAGACAGGTGGGATTAACCTGTCCAACAGCATTCTACTTTTAATTAAATGTTGTGGCAGAACATCGATATTGGTTCTCTGATAATTTCCTGCTGAAAAAAACCACTCTGCCACTTTATAAATAATATTAATTCATTAAAAACCTTTTTGAAGCAAATCCACAGTGATAGTTGTTGACTCAATACTTTGCATAGCTTGATTTTGACTTTAATATGCTAGCTGGTTTAAAATAAACCTTCAGTTTTTTGTTTTGTAGCATTTTGAAAACTTTGTAACATGGAAGTCAAATATTTCCCTTAAACACTGTGATTTGTATGTAAAATATTATGTATGCCTATTGCTGTAGTGTGTCTAACAAAATGTTCTCTTATTTTCAGTCTCCCAGTGTTACAATGACAACGTTTCTTCAGGCTCTTTCACTTGCAGTAGACAAACAATTTGAAGAAAGAAAGAAACTTGCAGACTGTGTGTGATACTCTATTGTTTTATAGTTGTCTGTATTGTAAACACTGAAAGCTACATACTTTTCATACAAACTGTGCAACATCTGTGCATCTGTAAAATAAATTTTCAAAACCTTAAAAAACCCGGAATGCCTAATCTAGTTTTTCAAAACATTCTTTAATAAACAATTAAGAAACTTTACAGCATATTTTTAAAAGCCTTATTTCAAATACCAGTAAGAGGATTGTAAAGAATTCTTGCTAAAAGTCAGTTTTCATCTTTTGCAGTTATTGAAAGTGGGCAGACTTCTGTTCCTTGTTTCTTAGTCACTAACTTTCTAACTGTGCATCAGTTTTTATGCTTCTGATTTATTTCATATTTTTCATAGCAATAGAAATTCAGTCTTTGGATCTGATACTTCTGCCATAAATGCACTATTTGTTATTGCTTCTGAAATAACAAGCGTGAACTGGGAAGGATTTGAAGTGCTCACTGATGACCCAGACCCTTTATACTGACGTCTCTTTATCTTGAAATTTAATATCAAGTATTACTTCTTTTAATTACACCAGATTCAAAAGTTTAAAATAAGATACCACTTAACTGTGTTTTGTAATACTACTTTTTTGTGTTGTAGCAAGGACGTGAACCAGAGTGGACTGTGGTTTTTCACTAAAGAGAAGCTACAATGTATAAGAAAGGTTCTTTAAAATGCATGGAGTTTGGTTTGGTTTTGTTTTATAAACATGACATAAAAGTTACAAATCATCTGTGGAGAAAAATATTTTGTAGTGCAAAAGCCAGGAAATGTATGTATCCAGTTCCTAAAGGAACAGAGTCAACTTTTTATGTGGTAAATACATATCCTATATAATAGTGGTTACAAAACAGTCAACTCTTCTTTTTTTTTATATTGACAAGTATTTTATCTGCAGTCAGCTGAAGGAATGAAATGTTAGGGGAGTTTCCAGATCAGAAGTTTAATTTTTCTTAAATGAAGATGAAATAGTGAGGTTTAAGTTGATGATATCCAGTTAATGCATGCCGCCTAGCTGTTGGTATTGGAAATACACTAGTGATAGTGTATTTTGTTACTTCCTTGTTTGTATCTTTTAAATCAATGTTATACTATACATTCATGAGATGAATTATTTTGTCCTGAGCTATTTTTATTGATGAAAGCTATAAACTGTGCATTAAAAAATTGCACAGAACTTGTCAAGTGCTAGTAAGTTTTTATTATGGCATCTATATTTATGCAAAGAGAGTCTCTTTTGTTAAGCCTTACTATATATGTTTTATATATAGTATATAAGCCTCATTATATTACTTTTGAAAATAACTTTTTAAATATTCTTCCCTATCCACCCCCCAAAAAAGAAGGGGGGTGGTCAGGAGAAGATTGTCCCAAATTCAGTCAATTGCAGTTGTGTACTCTATTTTTCCCACAATCATTGTTTTGGAAATATTGGTGCATGCAAGAAACTTCTTTAAAAGCCAGGTATAGGAAGACTACTGAAAGGTAAAATTTTATAGAGACTCTAGTCCATAGTGGATTTGTGGCTTCTGAAGTAAAGAGATTTAGACTTAAAATGAGTATTCATTCAATACAGGTGTATATTGTTGTGTGTGCCTGTCTTGATGATCCATGTATAGATACTGGAGTACTTCCATGGTAATGCAAAAGCACGGAATTATCTGCTGGTCTGGATTTGAGATTTCTTTAAGAACTGTAGAAGCTCCACACATTGCAAGTTCATGTGTATATGTTTCATTGAGGGTATATACATTTCCTCTGCGTTGAAAGCAGACCTCACTAGCATTGCTTGCTTGGTCTTTCTGTAGACTCATTGATCTTATCAAGGCTTATAAAAACTGTGAAGACCAGCTGTTCCTGCAGTTTACTCCTTCTCCCCTCCTCATTCCTTGATCTGAGGTGATGGCATTTTCCCCAGCCATGTAGTTTACCTTTTTCTTAGAATTTCATAGATATTCTAAGTATTTCTACTCAAACTAAGACACGCTAGTATTCTGAGAGTTGAGCAGAATTTAGAGACCATTTTTAGTATGTGCAATTTTGCTAATACATGGATTTGTGCTATGGCTGGCCATAGTTTAATCTTTTATTAAAATCCTAGTTAACTAATTCTGATGAGTGATTTATTTTAGGTGGTAGTTCCAGCAAGAAAACTCACACAATGAGGGAGGGTTACTTCTCCTTGTTTTCCAGTTGTGTGGAAAGCACTACCCTGCATAGAATGTACATTTGGGATTTTTTTTTTCTTGAGAATTTTAGTTCAACACAATTTTAAATTCTAAAGACTTTGAATCTGTATCTTTGAAGTGAATCACCTTGAACAGGTTGTATTTGGTTTGGAGGGAAGTATTTTCTGTTCCTTTTGTTGAAGATACATTCCTTTTATCCAAGAGTGCAAAACAAATTAAACTAGACAAAGAACATAAAATGCAGAGCCTTATGACAACCTAGGGATCAGGCCATTCTGCTGGAAGAGGGTGCTAGACTGAACAGTTTCTATCTTGTGTTTAATGACCATCTACTCTGAAGTACACACATTTTCGGTGCAACAAACCACATGGTTGTATCAGGCCCCATGGAATCTTGTTTAGCCTTTTTGTGCAAACAGGTAACAGTTTTATTTTAATGAAGGCAGACAAAGAATGTTTGTGCTCTGCTTGGATTGTCTTATAGATTTGCAGGACTGCTATAAGGAAGGACACATTGGATATGGAGAGTCCTCAGAGGAACCTTCTCCCCCAGGCAGGGCACGTCTATCCCATGCTTAAATGCAGTAACCATGGCTGTTCTTTTCACAGGAGACCCAGTGGCTACACACGAATCCTCTGTTTTCTTGCCGTGTTCAGTTAACGGTTATATGGAGGTAATAGTCCTCTTTTCCAGGTACAATTCCAGAACAATTTTTTTTATTTTCAGACATAACCATAAATTAGAAAAACCATCTTTTAGCACAAAAAAAAAAATTCTGCTTTGTTATTAACAGATTGCTTCTAATTCTGCTCAAAGCCACTAGATGGCAAGCATGGATCCTTGAGTTTTAGCAAGTCATGGGAAAATGGGAATGCTGACTGAAAGTTTCAAAAGTCCTAACGAACAGGACTTACTTTGCTGCAGTGAAAATCCCTCTTCAAATGTAATGTTAGCTGTAATGTAACACCACAGAATTTCTCTGAAATTCTTACAGAAAGAGAGATTCTGGGATATAAAATCTTTTGCCAAATAAAAAGAAGCTGTTGCAGAATTTGATCCAAAGATGAGAAACAGTGAGTTTTCCCTGCTATGGCAGAAGTTATTTTGCACTGTAGTTTAACCATCTCATCCACTGGGTGGTGGGTTTAGAAGAATATCTGGGATCTAGGTCACTATAAGCGTAGATGATGAAATTCTGAGCCTGGTGAAGGCAAAGACTTTCAGCCTAGCACATTAAAGTGCGTGGAATGTGGGATTTTATAACATTTAAGTAATCCTGAAATAGCGATGTAAAATTTTTTTTCTTTGCTTGCAAAAAGCAAAAGTAGACCCTTTGCCAAGCTGAGCACTGCTTATTTTATGAGACGTTACTGTGACTAACATTTTTCCAAGCAGCTAAAAGTGTTCATTTCTGATCCAGATCCTATGACATGATTTTCAAAATTGGGGGAGAGGAGGTTGAAGAGGGATGGCTTTTATTACCCAGTTTATCCACTGGAAATTATACAAAGGCAGTGGTTTTTCTAAAATTAATCTTAAAGGTTAAATAACTGTCTAAAACTTTGGACCTGTGGAAATACAAAATTCATTTCAAATGATCCTACTCTCATGGCTCACTGTCAGTGCAGTGTTGCGCTTCATAATTTTCAGTTTAGCAAGGGATGAGAACCCAGGGTAGGAGAGCCAAGGCCAGACACTGAGAACAATATGACGATTTTAAGGCAAGTTTCTAGAAACCAACAGAAGATTTGTTATATATGTGTTTGTAAGAACTGAAGAGAATGTAGTTGATATGGTCTGCTGAAAAGTAAGTGTCAGGTAATTTGATAAAGCATGAAGATGTAGATGCACACATTTTAAATCAGGCGTGTGGGGTTGTATGTCAAAACTGCTGGGTCTGAGACAAAATAGCTTTGTCTCCAAATTTTAATGATGGTACATTGAATTCTCTAAGGATCATCTCTGAGTTTAAAGGAATGATAATTAAGGTCATTAAAGAAGTGTTTCTTTGCTCAGCTTCACGCCAGATGAAGTTATATTTCATGGATAATGAGCCTTTATTGGAACAACGGTTGAAGGTCCAGTGAAGTCTTCTGGGTAGACTTGATTAAACAAAAGCATTGTATATAAAGCTGTGGTGTTCTGACCATTAAGTAGTACAAATTTGGAATTGTCTCCTTTTACTTAGTAAAAATTATATTTAAATCATAATCCTTCCTTTTCTTTTTATCATTTGTTCTGTGCCATGTAAAGAAATCCGCTGCTTGCATCTTTGCTCTGACAGCCTCTGAATGCTTTTCTGGACAAGTTGCTTATCTTTTAGTTGCCCCAGTTTTCTTACCTGTGATTTTAAATTCATCTGCCCTCCTAAAGTGTGTTCAAAGGATAGACTAGTCAATATTTGCTTATGTTTCGTCTGCTAAGTCGTTCAGGGAGCAGGAGTGCTCTGTGCCACTCTCATCCCCTTCCACAGAAAGACAGGAATTAGGATGCTTGGTGCTATGATTTCTCTACGGTATTTCTAGCACTGATTGTCACTACCCTGCATTGTCTTTTACTAGCCAGGCTGCCGTATAGTGTCTCCTCTCTGCTGCTGCCCAGATAAGCTCTCTGGGAAGAAGTTTCCAACTTTTTACCATCTCTATACGAGTTGGGAGGGGGAATTGCATTTCCAGTGGAACGCCCCAGCTTGAGTACAATGCTAGCAGTTATAAGGAAACACCTTCTATACTTCACATTGCTGCAGATCAACTTAAACCGAAAAGCAGGGTGCAATCTGTTTTCGTCCCTTCTAATTCTGCATGGATTCTTGAGGCACTAATGTAGTAAGTAGAGGTTGGATAGGGCATGTTTCCTCATAACCAGTTGCTGGTTTGACTTACCATGCTTCTGAACAACGGCATGATTCAGGCAGGGACCACAGACAGTGCCAGAGGAGAGAACATCTTTTTTCTTGCTGCTGATCTCAAAGTAGCCAAG